GAATGGGTAGGTGAGCTCCCAGTCACGGAGGAGAGCGATGGAGCGAGCCTGCCAGCTTGGACAGCAAAAGCCAAGTGCATCGGGCGGCTGTGTGCACCCGCAGCCAGTTACCGCCTCCACATCAGGCACAAGGAGAGTGCTCTGGAGTGCTCCGTGAGGTGCCCTAACAAGGCTTGCCCAGGAGCGGTGGGCATCCGTCGTGACATGTGAAGGAAACTTGTCCAGTAAGCGAAGATGCTGTGAAGGGAAGAGCTGGGGTTTTAGGTTTGAGGGTCCCACGAGCTGAGCTTTCTTGCGATATCTTCAGTTTTAACCACTCGTGTTTCCTTTTGCAACCCGCCATTCCCGTCCTTCTGTTTGCTCTCTTACCTCCCCTTCTACTTCAAATCCCTGTAACCTGGGCCGTGGACAGAGCTCCATGCCAGCGGGACTGATGAGGTGCGGTTACTCCACCCGGCACAGGGCAGTGCCTAAACCTGGAGCCGGTGCGGAGCGGCTGGGCAGAGCACACACAGGAGGAATGTCTCTAGGAACGGCCGCAGCTGCAAGCACTGCCGGCAGGTCAGGAGTGGTCTGGCTCCGTTGCTGGGCTCAGTGAGCAGTTCCTGCAAGGTGAACCAGCCTCGGAGTCTGTTTGGTAAGTAGAGCCTTCCTTGCAAAATGCTTTTTTTCCTCCTCTTCACAAAGTACCATTTCACGTGAAGAACCGGATTGTGTTCCCTTTCTCCCCTGCTGATGGTCTCAGAAAAGGAAGGCAAAGTCAAGGGAGAAAGAAAACGTTTGGGAGACGTTATCCCATACCCCCTCCTCCCTTGTTTCTTGGGGCGGGAAAGGAAACACTTGGGATCTGAAGGGCCATGTCAGTAAACCTCCGAAGGCGAGGGTAAAGAACAAGCTCAGCTTCTGTTAAAAGTCCTTACCCCTGTTTTGTAGGCATTGGCTTGAAAACGACAGACAGTTCAGAGGAATCGCTAGGATCCGTGCAGCGGGACCATGGCTCGCCGGCCAGCACCAGGGCGAAGACGCAGGAAGCTGTTCGGAAGGCACTGGGAACACGGCTGCCAGGAGAGGCCTGCTGGGAGGCAGCTAGGGGAAAAACGTGGTTCTGAAGGTGGTTTTGGAGGTAGGAGATTACTGCATCTGGTGGGGTACACGAGACGTTTGCCTGTCTGTTGGTTGGCTTTTCAAAGGCCGCCCCCGAGCCCTACGAGCAGTGGTGTAATGCAGGCAGAGCTTCCTCTAGTTATGCTCCGAGCCTTTCCTTGCCCCGTGAAACCACCAAGCGGGAGGAGGTTGTGATACCGTGCATGGTATTCCCCAGTATAAATTCCCTGCTGGGGAATCAAAAAACTTGGAAGGCTTAGAAAATCAGCAGGCACTTCCCATTTCAGCTTTGTTCCGAGTTTTTGAGAATAGAAGCAGACACCGATTCTGTTACGAG